CGGGTTCGATCCTCAGCACCACATACMAACAAAGATGTTGTGTCCGCCGAAAACTAAGAAATAATAAATATTAAAATTCTCTCTCTCTCTCTCTTTAAAAATAAATAAAATAAAATAAAATAAAAAGGTCTGGGGATGTGGCTCAGTGGTCAAGTGCCCAGGTACCACACACACACCCACACACACACACACACACACACACACACACACACAAAAGCCTGGATCTGTTAGTTCAATTCCAGCTCTGCTCATTACTAGCTGTGTGACCTTGGACATATTATCTAATGTCTCTGTGCTTCCCTGCTATAAGTGGTGATGATAACAGGACCTACTTCAGAGTTGTAATCTACCATTTTATGAAAAGTGCTTATGTGAGGGTCTGGTCACCCAGTGATGGCTAAGTAAATGTCAACAATTACTTTTGGGGTTTTTTTGGGGGGTTGGGAGGTGAACGTTGGTGCTGGAAATTGAACCCAGGGGCCTCATACATGCTAAGTACTCCCCCTACCACTGAGCTACACCCTGGCTCAATAATTTTTTTCTTTCATTTGTTTTCTTTTTGTGGTCCTGGGTGTTGAACGCAGGGCTTCCTCTACCATTGAGCTGTATCTCTAATCCCAGTGCTTTGTTTAAATTTTATTTTGAGAAAGGGGCTCCATAAGTTGTCCAGGACRGCCTTGAACTTGTGGTCAATCCTTCTTTCAGTCGATCCTCCTCCCTCAGGCTTCCAAGCAGCTGGGATTACAGGCCAACAGTGATTTCTGTCATATATTCTTTTTTGGTTCTGGTGCTGGGGATCGAACCCAGGGCCTTGGGCATGCAAGGCAAGTACTCTACCAACTGAGTAGATCCCCAGCCCCTGTCATACATCCTTACCAATTCTGATCCAACTGTCCTTCATGTTTGGGGCTGTACTAGGAGAGAGGACTCTCCAGGGCTCAGACACAGCAGTGCATGAACCAGGGACTCCTCCCAAAAAATAAAACCTCTGGGCTGGAGAAAGTATGGTGCTCGAATGGCCTCACCCCCACCCTGCAGCCTCAGAAACCCTGAGGGGACCCTTGCTGGACCTAGAGACCTCCAGCCCCATCACACACAGGTCCCCCATCCCTGTTGGTCATCTTAGGTCCTCTGATGCCATCTGGTGGTCATTGCTTATATTGTACTCTTGGACCTCGTGCAATATAAGGGGGGCTTCCTGGGTCTGGGAACAATCTGGGAGGCGAGGGGTGGGGTGGAGAGTCTTACCCACTGTATCTGTGGACCTAAAAGTCTTGTGCAGTGGTGACTGGAAGCCAATAATTCTTGGGACACAGAGCTTGAATGAATTGTCCTCTTCCTCCATTTCCTCTTCCTCCCCTTTCTCCTGGAGGGGCAAGCCTTCCTTGAGAGGAAAGTCTCTGAGCAGGTGCGGAGGGCTAGGACCCCGAGCCTGCAGCCCTCACCCTCCCTCAAGAAAACAGAAAGTAGGAGAGAACAACAGTCCCCGAAGGTGAAGAAAGGAGACTGTTCCCAAGGGACCGAGCCACACAGCCTGGGCTCAGCCAGGACCCCACCCCCCACCMCCACAGACCTTGACAATGGCTGATTTCTGGAGCTGCTTGTACAAACCGAGGAGGCGGTTCCAGGGAGTTCCTGCCTTGGAAGAGGCCAGCCTGGGGTCTCCTGTGGAAGGACAGCAGTCACTGATGAGCAGGTGGCTGGGAGGAAGGAGGGGTCCCGGGCCAAGGAGGTGGGGCAGGCTGAGCTGAGGGCAGGGTTACCAAAGGGTTCTTTACCAAACCCTGGCTGTGCGCCGGCCCCGTTTTAGGCCCCCGAGGAAGCCACCTTGGTCAATCCTTGCAACTGATTTGCTCTCATTTTACAGATGAGGAAACTGCTGAGGTTAACAACAYGCCACCACCACACAGCCTGACGGAAGGGGGCATCGAACCCAAGCAGTCTGACTTCAGCATTCCTCAGAATGGGTCCTGTGGGCTGCCAGGCCCTGCACCCCTCTGCCTAGGGCCACCATTACTCACCATCAAGTAGGCGCGCCTCCTCCTCCTCCTCCTCCTCCTCCTCCCTGCTGAAGGCCTCCGGGCTGACTTCCAGCAGCTCCGTGTACTTCAGGCCTTCTTGCTCCTCCTCCAGGGCCTGGGCCAGGTGGCTCCTAATCCCAAAGCACAGTCAGCTAGGGGAGGCAGGTGGGCCCAGAGAAGGGGCAGTGACCTTCCCACCCCAAACCTCCCAGGCAAGGCTTTCCCACAGGCCTGGCCCCCTCCATTAGCCCTCTCCTGTGGGCCCCCCGGGGTCTTCGTCATGGAAGGGGCTACCCCCACCCCAAGAAAGTCAGTGTGGAGGAAAGAAGGAGACTGAGAGAGGTGGTCCCCCTTTCTCACTCAGAAGGCCCAGGCCCAGGGGGAGTGGGGAACCAGAAGGAGAGAGTCTGGAGGGCAGGCAGCGGGAGMGGGAGGCTGAGGGAGCCCACCCTGTGTACTCCCTCCAGCCCTTAGCCCATCCCCCTCTCTCCTGGTTTCCCTACCAATGCTGGGCTCCAAATCCAGGCCTCAAGGGCTTAGGCAAGCCCTCCACCACAAAGCCACACCCCCAACCGCACCCTTCATCACCCTTTCATCCACAGCCCTGTACTTGTGGAGGACCCCATGGGTCTCCCCTCCAAACCGTCATCTATAGACCTCCCCACTCTTTCTTTTTTTTTTTTTTTTTTTTGGTACCAGGGATGGAACTCATTTACCACTGAGTTCATCCTCAGCCCCTTTTATTTTTTATTTTGAGACAGGGTCTCACTAAGTTACTTAGGGCCTCCATACATTTCTGAGGCTGGTCTCAAACTGGCGATCCTCCCTCCTCAGTCTCCTGAGTGGCTGGGATCACAGGCATGTGCCTCTGAAGCCAGATTTAAAGTTAGGTAGTCAGTGTAGTTAGGTAAATCGGRTCTARTATCSAGTGAAATCTAAAATGGAGRCCATGYTGRGAATGAATTTCCGGAAGAGTTGAGCAACTCTTGAAATGTTAATGAAGTCCCCAGAAAAGCCCTAGGCCCAAAGTCCATCCCAAAGAAATATTAATAATGAAATATGATATGTCAAGAGCTTTGTAGTGTTTTGAACAACTAATAATAACAAAAAAAATTTTTTTAAATAAATAAAATGTGATATTCAGTTCAAAAAAGAAATATGAATGAACAGCCCCAGCAGATTTGAAGATAGCCCATCCCAAAGAAGTGTTAATGAAGTCCTTCCTGCCCAGATGACTTCTTTGGCCCACCTGTGTCCCATGTTCAGGCCTCTTCCCAGTACCTCTACCTCAGGCTCCCGCCCCATCCGGGTCCCCAACACAACCACCCTCCTTGACCCCAGCACCTCACCTATCCCCTGAGTCCCCCGAGGCCTCCCCTGCTGGCTCCTCTTCCTTCTCTGGGTTCTCTTTCTTCTCTGACGYGTTGCCCAGCACCTCCAGGCTTCTTCCGGGAAGGAATGGCTTCACTTCTACGGACTGGGCTGTCAGCCTCAGGACCTCCTTGGGGTTAGTGGTCTGGGAGCCCATGTCCCCCATGCCCAGCCCAAAGGCCTCGTGCTGTAACAGGTGTGCGGAGCCCCTGGGCACGGCCACTGAGMAGGTACAGGGCAGCGAGGCAAGGGGCCCTGGCTCCCTCCACCCGGAGTCCCCCTGGAGGCCCGTCTTCAGGGAGGTGGTGTCCTGTTCTTGTAGCAGGCACAACTGGCCCCTGGCCAGGGCCTTGTCCGAGCTCTTTGGGTTGCCCTTGCTGCCCACCAAGYTTCGGAAAAAGCGGAACATAGGAGAACGGCCCAAAATTCGTGACCGTGATCTGGAGGTTCGAGCCGGGGCCTCCATCCTGAGAGGGACCCTGACTCAAGGAAGAGTCGCAGCAGCCCAGGACCAACTGCTTAAGAACAGGGAGTTTTCAAATGAAAACCTCCAGTTGGAGACTTCCAGGAGTTCTAGAAGGCAAAGATGAGGCGGGGGTGGGGGCTCAGTATGGGGTGGGGGACACAAAGGGGATGAGACAGAGAGGACCGGGTGACGGAGCAGAGGAGAGGGCGCAGTCTAGCTGGGCTCCAGGTTGACGAGGCTCCAGGGAGCATGGGGGACAAGCTGGGGGTGGCCATGGGGCTGGAGTCCAGGTCAAGACTGGACGGAGAAGAGGTTTTTGAGAGCCCAGAAGGCCTGGCAGGGGATGGACAGGAAGACTGTGAGGGAAGGGACCCTAAGGAGGAGGCGGGGGCTGCTGGGGACTCTGCACACACTTCTGTCCTTCTGTAGTTTATTCTGTGCTTGGGAACATTCCYGAAGCCACACAGTTTCTGTCCTCCCTCTTGTCCCCACTGGCCTGCGCAGGTTTAGGTGGTAGCACAGACTCCAGGGTCTACATCTCTGCTTCCCTGCTGGTCACTTTCAAGATTTGGGATCCCAGAGACTTCCAAGGTGCCTCGTTGCCCAGATTTGAATGTATATTGAATCCCAGTTTAGGAGTGGTATTCCCCGCAGCACCCACGAATCTGACCATGAACCCAGGTCGGTGACCTTGGGAGAGTTCCTCAAACCAGTAGAGCCAGCCTCACTTGGTCCATTTGTAAAATGGGCCTAGTCAACCATCCCGACTTCCAAAGGTGTGGAGAAGATACGAGGAAAGAATGATTTCTGAACTGCATTGCTAAGCTGAGGTGCTTAAGAAACTTCTCAATCGCGTTTTTTTATTAGTGTTGACTGAGGGAAGAGAGGGAAAATCAAGTAGGACTGGAATAAGGGACAGGGAAAAGCAGTGAGCCCCAGGAAGCCTCTCCGCCTGGCTGGGAAGTGGGCAGGGGGAGGGGGAGAGAGAGGAGGGGGAGAGAGAGGAAGGGGAGAGAGTGAGGACCAGCTTCCCCCCACAGCCCGCCCAGCCCGTGCCTCCAGGCTATAGGCCTGTGCATCCGCATCCGGTGGCCACCAAGCAACTTCCTCTAGAGGGAGCTGATTGCAGCTGGGTGCTGCCGGCACCTCTAGGATCGGTGGAGCCGCGCGGGTCCCTGAGGCCGCACCAGGACAAGCAAGGGCTGCATCCTGACACCAGGAATGCACTGACGCCGGTTCCTGGAAGCTGAGCCCAAAACCCTGCCGCTGGGAGCAGCCACCAGCCCTTGGGGATCTTCGGCCTTGGCCCTGCCGAGCTTTCCGGCTCTGGACCAGAGACTGGACAGGTAAGCCGGCAGTTCCCTCCATCTTCCCTAATCCTGCAAGTTTCAGCCCCAGCGTGGGGCAGAGAGCCCACCGAGAGCCGGGTAGGGAGGAGAAGTCTCGAGACTTGCCCAGGCAGGTCCCCATGCCCCGCTGGGGGTCTGATCTCGACAGGCTACCTCTGGCTCCCCTCTCCCAGATAGCTCCCCCTCTAGCCTCGGCCCTGGATGGCCCTGAATGCCAGAGAACCAGGCAATTTAGCAATCTGGGGGGTTGGGAGAGGAGGTCAGAGCCAAGGTCAAGGGTAGGGAATAATACTTTCACAGAGCTTTCTGCTGCCCCGGGATCTCTAGACTGCGTCTGGGGCCAGGCCAGGCGTATCTTCCTGGGGAACATCCTTCGTAGGCCCAGCAAGCCAAGGAGATGGGGGTGGAATGGGAAGTTAGGCCACTGGGATGGTGGGGGTAGGCGGAGGCCCTGGTGAGCACAGGCCACCGGCTTTGGGGGCTGTTCTGAGACTCCRTCTGCTCTCCAGCAGTGAGCCCCTGGGGAGGAAGGAGTTAGAGGTTAGAGCTGGCGATTCCGTCAGCATCCCCTGGCAGTGCTGTCCCAGGGGGACCAGATTTTGGAGACCAGAGAAGAGGAAAGGGCATCTTAGGAAGAGGCTGGGGGGTGAGGTGTGCAGGCAAAGAGCTGTACAAGGCCTGGCGCCCAGGGGTGGGGGAGGGGAGGGTCTGCCTTTGCCTCATCCTTGTCCCTAAGAGGGTAGAGGTAGGAAAAACTGAGTGTACAGGTGGGTCAGCGCTCCGCTACCTCTTCTCAGGGAGCTCTTAGGTAACTCAAAAATGATCCCAGGCCTAAGCRGAAGGAGGGTGAGTGTGGGCATGTGGGCCTGGGGCCAGGTAGGGGTCTGCAGCCCTGGGTACAGGGTGGGGCTGAGTCCTCTTCAAGAACGGGAGGAGGGGCGCTTCCTGCCTGGGTGATGGAGGACACTTGGAAAGAAGTGGGGCTCTGGAAGGGGCGCAAACTGAAAGTGAAACCGTTGAAATCAGGAAATACTCCCTCTGCCGGAATCGAGGCCATGCCCGGACTGGGCAAAGAGGAAAACTGGGGCTGGGARCCGGAGCACAGGTGTATGGCAGAGCTGCGTGGTGTGAGGCAGGTTGGGGGCTGTGTCACGCTGACTCCTGAGGTCCTCCTGGGGGCAGGAGTGGGGAGGGCACAGACGGGGAGTTGCCGGATGGAGAGAGCTGCCCCGGGGGGAAAAAGGACACCCTCTGAAATCCCAAATCCACAAACTGGAAGAGAAGATACACGGTGTGTGCACTCCTGGAGATCAGATAACCGACCCGACCTGCCCCACTAGCTGTATGGCCTCAGGCACTAACYGCACCTCGCCTTCCTTTTCCCACCTGTCCCTGAGGGTGGTGATGCTTTATCTCACTGGGGTAGGTGGGTTTTCAATACTTAGGAGTACACWGCAGGCTCTCAGGAGGTGTTTGCTGAAAGGCCTAAGTTGGAAAAAAAGTATGTTTCTGCCAGCCAGGGGGAAGTGGGCCCTTGAGGAGGGCCTTCAAGGGTCACTGGCTGGGAGGAGTCAAATGTGGTAGTGTGGGCTAGAGAGCCTGCAGGTGGCCCTAGGAGTAACTGAAAGAAACCTCAACCTCTGAAACTAGTGATGTGAAATGGGACACAAGAGCCACCAGGGCATGGCTGTGACCTTACCCCTCCAAAAGCTCCTGATTGCCAGTACAGATACCTAGATCCCTCGGTCTCTCCCTAATGCCTCACCTTTCTTTTCTTCTTGTTTTTTYCTTGGTGGTGCTGGAGGTTGGAYCCCGGGCCTTGGGCATGTGAGGCAGRCACTCTACCAGTTGAGCTGTATTCCCAGCCCCAACTGCCTCACCTTTCTGACCCCATCTCCTTAGAAAGATGGCCAGTGAGTCATTCAGTGAGTTCTCTTTCCTCTTGGAAGATACCGCTGGGACCCAAGGTAGAGGCAGCCTCTCTTGCGTCCCTGGTCAGAGCCCATCCCTATCTCTGCTTTTTCTCACTCATTCCCACAGGCTGACACTGTCCTCTCCTAAGACCTGAAAAATGGCATCCGGGCAAGGCCCAGGTCCTCCCAGTGAGGAATGTGGAGAGCCAACCTCCGATTCTGGTAAGGGTCTTCTTGACCATGAACTCCCATAGACACAAGGGTTATCTGGAGGCTGGAGGGAGCCCATGTGGGCAGGGCCGAGAGGACTAAGGGCTGAGGTCCTACCTCAGCTCAGCTCCTTGAATAAAGGAGGAATGTATCTCCCAGCCCAAGGCTGGTGGCCCCTTGGGCTCAGAAATGGGAGCTGGMGTTGGAGCTGGAGTCAAGCTTGAGTGGGCGGAGCCTGGGCTGGGAAGGTCCAGAGGTTGGGAGAGGCCCAGGAGCCAGCGTGCAAGAGGGCACAGTGCCCTCCCTGCGCAGAGGGCGGGATTGAAGGTGAGGAAGGAGGGCAGGAGGATGGGGCCTGGCTGTTGTATCCCTGTAGTAGGAGAAATAAGGAAGTGAACTGGCTTATCACTGAGCRGAGTCCACCGAAAACGCATTTGTTGTGACTTGGGGGAGGAAGTAAGATGGCTGCCTGCCTTCTCTCTTCCAAGTGGATGGCACGGAGGCCAAGCTTAAGGCTCACTAGAGGCTGTTCCTTGGACTTGGGGTTCAGGTCTCATGACTCTATCTCCCTTTGTGACTTTTCTTGGCCCAAAGCTACCACTTGGAATTCTGTTTCTCCCCAAGRCCTGGGTGCCTCATGCCCACACAGGTAAACTCGGGAGCCCACATGCCTGGAATTACTCCCTGGCTCCACTGCTGGTTCCAGTTGTGTGACCYTGTGCACATTACTTGGTCACCCTCTGCTGTGGTTTCTATAAACTGGAACTCTTCCCCCTTCCCAGTTGATTGTGAGGACTGAGTGAATATCCCAGCAGAGGACCCCAGAGTGAGCACTAGGTGTCCACCACGGGGCCGGAGTGGGAACATTTCTATCTCGGGTGAGGACAGTCATGGCTTTGAGGAACACAGAGCCCCCCACAAAGGATGCACTGCTAGGGTCCAGTCTTCCCTTGCTGACTCCCAGCTTTGATCTCAGAGCGGCAGGTAGTCCGGGACACGGAGGAGGTTTTCCGTAGCTACGTTTATTACCGTCACCGGCAGGAGCAGGAGGCTGAGGGAGCAGCTGCCCCTGCTGACCCAGAGATGGTCTTGGCCCTAGAACCTACCAGGTAAGCCCTAGCCCTGTAGGGACATCTTTAAGGGGACAGAGGCTCATATGGGGCTATGTGTGGGTCCTGGGAGCCAGGGAGGCCTGGGGGGCTTCTCTCCTCCCATTACCACGCCTTTCTCATTTGGGTTCCCACTCCCATAAAAGATCATGCACCCTTTTTGACACATGCCTTCCCCTTGTCCCTGAGCCCCGCCTTCATGTCAGCTAACACTGTCAGGGACCTTCAAGGAGAGGTACACAAGGCCGGGGTCCCTTGGGCAGAACCTCTCTGCTATAAGCCCATTTCCCACTGCCTCCGACTCCTGCAGTACCATGGGGCAGGTGGGTCGGCAGCTCGCTGTGATTGGTGACGACATCAACCGGCGCTACGACTCTGAGTTCCAGAGCATGCTTGAACAACTACAACCTACAGCTGCGAATGCCTATGAACTCTTCACCAAGATCGCCTCCAGGTACCCGGCTGTCACTCTGTTGTGCCGTCCTGTCACCAATGTGCTGCACCCTGCCTATGTGATGGTCTCCCCAGCATGGACAGGCACACTCTTTCTTGTCAGTGTCAGGGGACATGTGTGCAGTCCCTGGTGTCTGTTAGCTCACATGTGGTCTTGGCGTCTCTCTCTCTCTCTCTCTCTCTCTCTCTCTCTCTCTCTCTCAGTTCCAGATTTGTCTTTTGGGCATAAGCTCACAGCTCTTATGAGTTCTGACACCAAGGACTTGACCGGTTAGATCAGGACACTGTGGGGGGCCCTGGGTTGGGAGGGTAAGATGGGCCATCTAAGGATGGCCCAGAGATGCTAAAGGTACTAAACCCCCCCATAATGGCTCCCGATAATCTGGTACCTAAGAGGCAATCTCATGTAGGGAACAAAGCCACCAAAAGCTCAGTGGAAGAGTGCTTGCTTAGTATGTGTGAGGCCCTGGGTTCAATTCCTAGAACCTCAAAAAAAGAAAAACAAAAATCCTGATTCAACACTCAGTTTTTTTGTTGTTGGTGGTGGTTTTTTGTTTGTTTGTTTTGGTTTGGTTTGGTTTGGTTTTGGTGCTGGGGATTGAACCCAGGAAGCTTTACCACTGGGCCACATCCCAGCCCTTTTTTATTTTTTATTTTGAAGCAGGGTCTTGCTAAGTTGCTGAGGGCCTCACTAAATTGCTAAGGCTGGCCTTGAACTTGTGATTCTCCAACATCAGCCTCCTGAGTTGATAGGATCACAGGCATGTGCCACCACACCCAGCCTCATCCTAGCTTTGTCTCTAACTGCAGTTGTGAAACTTCTACCCCTTGGTCTCTTGATCTTTGAAGTAGGAAAAATACACTTAGAACAGTGTCCTCTTTTACAAAGTGTCAGCCATCATTTCCACATGAGTTAGGGAAACAGTGTCAAGGAAATTTGGTTTTTTTGTTTTGTTTTGTTTTGTTTTTAGTACCGGAGATTGAATTCGGGGAAACTCAACCACTGAGCCATATCCCCAGCCCTACTTTATATTTTATTTAGAGACAGGGTCTCACTGAGTTGCTTAGAACCTCACTGTTGCCTAAGCTGGCTTTGAATTTGCAATCCTTCTGTCTCAGCCTCCCAAGCCGCTGGGATTACAGGAGTGCATCACCGCACCTGGAGTGTCAGGGAAATGTAAAGGTGGTAAAGGTGCGAGTAGGTCATAGACTTACAATTAGTGCTCAGAGCTAAAATGTCTAGTCACCATGCCCCCAAGCTGCTGTAATTCTGGGACCTGTCCTAATCTCTCTTCTGTCGTTTTCTCTCTGCTGTCCCCTCGGGCTGCCAGGCCAGCAGCAACACCCACAGGTAATCTCCCTGCTTCCTCTGTCCGCTCATCTACCCTCTGCCCTTTCTGTACCTTGTTGGCCTGTGGCCTTGGGAAGCTACACTCCAGTAGTAGCTCCTATGCCCTCTGAGATTTCTCCTTTCCCRAATCAAGGCCAGACTAAGGCAGCCTCTGCGGCCCTGATTCGCAGCTAAGCCATTTAGCTTCCCATCTGGGAGAGGGGTGGGGTACAAGGAGGCAGGAGAGGGAGGGCAGGTGGAAGGGGCCCCCAGGAGCTCTCCACTGACCTGTGGCATGCTCTGCTCACAGCCTGTTTGAGAGTGGCATCAACTGGGGCCGTGTGGTGGCTCTCCTGGGCTTTGGCTATCGCCTGGCCTTACACGTCTACCGGCATGGCCTGACAGGCTTCCTGAGCCAGGTGACCCGCTTTGTGGTCGACTTCATGTTGCATCGCTGCATTGCCCGGTGGATCGCACAGAGAGGAGGCTGGGTGAGTGCCTGGGGGTCACCCAATCCTTCCTGCTGCTGGGGTTGCCCTGGGGCCCGGTATCAGCCTTTCTTTGACCACCTTGTCTCTTCTGGCAGGTGGCAGCCCTGGACTTGGGCAACGGCCCAATCCGGAATGTGCTGGTGGTTCTGGCTGTGGTTCTGCTGGGCCAGTTTGTGGTACGAAGATTCTTCAAGTCATGACTCCTGGGGGGCCCTTTGGGGTTCAAGTG